TGGAGCCCTGGCCACTGAGACTTGCAATCTCCCTGTGTCGTAGGTGTTTGTATTTTATGGCTGAACGAACTGATATGTTGAATTTGGAACAGTTTAGCTGGCAAAAATTGATATGTTGTACCAAACCTTGCAGCACCAACTGGGCAGTATTTTCTCTGCTGATTCTTGCGAGTGCCTTTGCGTAGATCTACGTATTTTCACAAAGAAAAACAAACTGCTGTTGCCATCCTGTGATCTGCAAACATTTTAATTACCATGACGGTAATTCCAGCTCACCAACAGACTACTTATCTTACCTCTGCCGCTACACTAGCCATTTATTTTAGGTCCTGTTAAAGGTAAAGAGACTAACTGTTCTGCAGATACGCTTGTCCGCTTTAATTAGGCTTCTTTAAGCTGTGCAAAGAGAAACTGCACTTAATTAGCTTTCCATAAATTAGGATTGATGTACCACCCTGTATATGGGCATGATGTCGTTCCTGTCTAATAAACTAAGTGTTCTATTCTGCAATTTTTTTCCCCAGGTGGTTGATTTGCAAGATGACAGAGCCAGTGTGCGAGCTTTGTCTTTAGCAGTGCTCTTGTCACTGCCTCGGGGCTGGAGGTGGCTGGATCAGCAATCCCGGCACTGCCTGGGGCTGGCAGGGTCTGGGCAGGGTGCATGGCACAAGCTTTCCTGACCCTTGCTTGCAGGTCCACCACACTCAGTGTGAGCCATTCCCTTCATCCTCCAAAACCCCCATGGGCATCGCCTTGCTCTGGTGCACGAAACTTCTGTCCACGAGAAAAAGGGAGAAAAGATTTTATTCTTCTCCATGCCAGGAAGCCCACCTCAGCAAACCTGCATTAAACATACGTTTTGGACAAAGAGCTCCTGTAAAAGTGGAAATTTCCACACCTAAATGTTTGTTTTCAGTCAGTGCTGGGGGTTTCTTAAAGGCACATGTTTATCTCTAGCCCTTTTCAGGATGAAGACCAGAAAATCTCTCAGCTCTGTGTGTGTGTCTATCTCCTAAACCGGCTTCCTTGAACTAGCCCAGTTGTGTGTACGTTGGAACGAGTGGACTTGGAACATCTCATTACTTTTACAAAGTATGTTTTGACAATTTGAAATGAATAAAACAGATTTTTATTAGGTGTAATGACAATGAGAGATAGCTCCTTTGGGGTTTTTAAAGAAGGAGGAGAGGGGGATGATCAAGCTCCTTAACCCCCAGGGTCACCTTGGCAGCCCCCCAGAACCTGGAGACAGCTGCCAAGTTGTCGACCTGTGGTCGATGCAAACGTGCATGCATATCGCCGGGCTGTTTGCTTCTGCTTAAGCAACATCTTTGTTAGCAGGTGCATAAAAAGGACTGTTGCCTCGAGGTTTAGTCGTACAGCCCACCGCAGGTTGGTTCTGTTAGTGATGGCAGTCAGCAATGTGGTCTGATCTCTGCAGGATCCTTTGTGCCACAGCCCATGGGGGTATTGTACAGCCAGACAGTACGGTCAGGGGAGGAATTTGCATGGCTCCTTCCTCTTCACTGAGCGGACTTGCCACATAGCTGGGAGCGATGTTATTTCTTCACCCAGATGGTTTTTGTCAGCTCCCTCCAGGGCCCTGCCAGGGGTTTGTACAGCGGTGGCTGGCGGAGGGGCCAAGGGAGGGGACAGCTCCCAGACCCAGCCGGTCCTCCCGCGGAGGAGAGGCGGCTCTGCGGCGTGCTGGAGATAAAAGGTGATACTGGTAGGGCTGGAGGAAAGGCAGAAGGAGATAGGTGAGAACATGCCTTCCTCGGAGACCTTGCCCCGGAGGAGCACATGTGCAGGGCGCTGCCCTCGGGCTCAGCGCTGTGCTCCCATCCCTCGGTGGATTGTTTTCTTTCCCACATGCCAGCCCTGGTTCCTATAGCCATCTGAAACTTCTCCAGTAATAAAAACTGAAAACCAGAAATATAAATCATCACACTTCATAATGCAATTACTGGTGAGCAGAATTTGCTTAGAAAACTTGAGCGAGGTGTGCTCCTGCGTGCCAGGATTATCTCACTGCTGTGAACTTTGAGCTCCGCTTGCGGATCGGCTTCTCTTGTCCCACTGACTACCTGGCCGTCGGCTCTGCAACACTTCTGCAGAGCCCTAATGCCAGGGAGTATCATTCCCTGGGTTACTTGCTCAGTGACTTTCTTACCTCACCTTGCAGTCTGTGCCCAGAATAAACTGCCTGTGACAAACTACGAGTCCAAGTCCCTTGAGTAGTTTTAAAGGAGAAGCGGATCTAAGCCCGGTTGTAAAACACATCCCAGCAGTGCTGCAGAGAGAAGCGCTGGTGAGAAATGCTGAATCGGTGTTTGTCTGGACCTCTCTTCAGCTTTGCATCTGTGTGTTCCAGTATCTCGGACGGCAGGCTGTGTCCTGTGCCTGCAGCGTGGATGCTGCGGGGCTGCTCGCAGCCCAGCCAGCGCATCCTGAGGGGCCCCGAGTTGTGCCCGAAGCGCTGCCCGGGGGGTCTGGGGGCTGCCCCACCAGCCCCACAGTTTGGGCTCTCTGAACTGGGCTCTGCTGACCTCTGCAGTAGATCTGACTGGCCAAATACATCTCAGTAAAGCAGCCTGTTAGTTGCTACCCTTGTAGAAATGGGTTAAGAATTTGGCACCTGGGTGTTTATGCCCGCTTCTTACCCAGGCAGACTGCAGATACGCACTTGGTTGAAACCAATCTGCTCATTTTTAAACTCCTTGGAGCTACGATTTGCAATGGGTGGCAGACCCCAGATGTCTGGGGTACGCTATTCCCCTGCCACAGGAACCCACATTCTCTTTGAAGAAGCTCTTAACCATAGAACCGTAGAAGAGACCTTAAACCTTCTTCTTGCTCACTTGTCAGATAAAACAAGCCATTAGTGTCCGCTCAGTGCCATTTCCTCTTTTAAATGAAGTAACTTAAGGGAAGATTTCCTGGATGTGGCTGGAGGGGGGGGTCACAGTGCCAGGATGCTGTTGCCTTTATACCCGGTGGGTTAGTGGGACCCGGTGTGCCCGTACACGCCGGCTGGCACACAGCCATGTCCCCACGCTGCTTGTCTTGTAGGTTGTCCGTCTGCATACACACAACTCCCTAAAGAACGTTGTACTGTACCTTGGAGCGGAGGCATCCTGCTGTTCCATCCTTAGGTGAAATTTTCAGGAATATATATTTAAAGGAAGTAAGGTTGTTTGCAAGCCTTCAAGAATTTGTTGATTCCTGGTGCTGGATGGCTAGGCAGGAACAGAACAAAGTCCCAGTGTAGCTGAAAAGATTCTGTGTCTTTCAGTGCCGCAATCTCTAATTTGTTTAGATGCAGGCGAAGGATCAGAAACTAACGTGCATCTGGGGATTAAGACAGCTTTGCTAGCCAATTTGAAAGTTAGCATATTCTAAAAGATTTTGAAAGTCTCAGAAGGCAGTGAAGTGCTTTCCTGATTTTTATGTCTTTGAAAATCTCTGTTTAGTGTGCCTGGTGGAATTATATAAATACATGCTGCCAGCTGTCTGACACCAACAGATACCACCCCGGCCATTTAAGTACTGGAGTGATGGGCTGGCGAAGATAGAGATATTGCTCTCGCTGTGCAAACACCCGTGCAAAAAGGCTAAGACTCGCTAATTCCACGTGACACTCGCTCCTTTAAAAGTTTCTGTAATTTTTCCCCTGGCACCTCTCCTATCCTGGGAATATACCAGTGGTTATGCTGTAAGAAAAATAATATGTGTTTTCATTCTGTATCTCTAGAAGGGAGTTGCCATCATGATATGAGTTTTTCTGCGGCAAGAAGAAAAGCAGCAGTCTGATGTCTTCCTTGGCAGCCTCAGCCTATGCCATTGTGCTTAGGGATCTTTTGACTAGGGAGGGGCCAAACTTATTCTAAAGGTTAAGATAAAAGCAAAATAAAACAGCGTACTCCTTCCTTTACTGTACTCACTGCTCTGCTCCAGTCCCACATTCCACACATCGATTGGGTGAACTCTGCTGTAGTTCAGGGATCTGGGCACGAAGTTGCTGTAGGGCAGCCCAGGATGAAGGGAGACCCTAAAGCAGGGGTTTAGGAAATTTTATCTGTTGAGTGCTTCAGATTGTGGGTCTTGCCGGTGCTAGGCTCTGCTCTATTAAACGTGATGATTCCCGAGTTGGATGCTCTATCTTGTCTCATCTACATGGCCCTAGACCATGGTCCATCTTGGTATGGTCCCAGCGTCCCTGCCACCCACCACTATGGGATATACGTATGTAAGCCTTCCAGGGCAGGGCTGCAGAGTCCAGGTACCGCCTAGGACAGGCATTCAGCTTTTCCTAAGCACCAAGTTGATTTGCTGGCTGTAATTAGCTGACTTGGAGCTCTTTCTTTCCATAACTTCCATAGTGTTTCCTGTTGAATGTGCTGTTCCCCTTGGTGCACAACAGGCAACGAGATGTTATAAAGTATCACACCTCTTGGGTGTCTTTACTGAGACCAAAACTCACTCCATTTTTAAAAAATCATTTAGCTTAGTTTGTAAGTGTTTCACTGCCTCTGCTCCTTGCTGGCTGTGCTCGCGGAGTTTCGGATGCTGCAATATCTGCTCTTACGCATGGGGATGGGGGTTGTTTGTGGTCCATTTAGCTTTGCAGTTAGGAGCAATCTATTTTTACTCTAGCTGCAAAGCATCAAGACTTTTTTCCTGCTTGATTCTTTGGAGTGAACTTGATGGACTAAATTGTGTAGTTTTTGTGGAGGAAAATCAGTAATGAGATGAAGGCTGGTAAGAGCAAGCAGTTAAACCAAAAAGAAGAATAAAAAAAACCAAACCCAAATTCACTTGTCTAAAACTTTTTTTTTTTTAACATTAGATTTAGACTTTCAGGTTAGATTGGAAGATGTTTCAGCATACAGTTTTCTGAAAACATGGTGGTTGTTGTCTGGATCTCTGATGCTCTCTGTGTTTTGGTACCTTCTTCATGACTAGAAGATAAATTTTTCTTCTTTTTTTTCCTTGGATAGGAAAGAATGCATTTTCACCATCGACCCATCAACTGCCAAAGATCTTGATGATGCTTTGTCCTGTAAACAACTCCCTGACGGTATGAGATATATTTTACAAAATACTTCTCAGTGTTTATATTCAGCTGTTGACACATTCGTTTATATAATTTGTCGTGGAGTACTCTTTACCAAATATGAGTGGAGTAATAAAGTAGTTTTTCTCTTGTTGTTTTAATTGCCTGTTTTCGGAAACCTGGGAGCAGATATCTTCAAGCTGCATTCTGAAGTAGTCTTGGTGTCAGGAAATGCAGAACCGCAGTGTTTTGTGTAATCAGAGCTGAAATTTGATTGAGCAGATCTCAGCTGTCTCCTGTCATTACGGGAGTTACGGCTGAGTAGCTCGGGCACTGCTCTTGGAGACTGAGGTCTAGTGAAACTTTGACCTTGAATACGCAGTCCCTGGATAACAGAATCCAGTTTTTTGCAGGTCACTGGCTGAATTGCCTTTTGGTGTTTATGGGATGCTGGGAATTGTCAGATGAGCAGTGTGTGCCTTCTAAGTTGGATTATTCTTCTCGTTGCCTTTTAAGCTTTGAGTTCTGCCTTATTTGTACTTTTACTGTGCCATAAGTCAACAGAACAGAGAGTAAAGCTCCAGAAGCCAAATCTTGATGATTCTGACTTAAGGAACTTCCCTGTTGTAAGATGACTTTGCCATCCAAGTTCTGCTTGTTCAGTTTGATGAGATCCAGTAACAGGTCTGGTTTAGAAATATTGCCTGATTTGATTAGCCCATCCACCACTAATAAAGAAGATAAAGTGGTTTTTTCTGTGTTTAGTTTTTCTTGCTCTCATTAATCATCACAATATGATGATATCAAAGACATCATTCCCTGCTTTTTGGGTTGATTTCATTCTGTGCAATGAGGCCAATGAATTGTCGTGTCATTTAGACCCAGGTACAGAATAGTGTCACAGGGTTATAAACATGGTTAAAAAAATCAGAGATGAAAGAAAATTTGGGAGCAATAAAATGATTTCAAATTATATTGTACAATACAGTTTTGAGGCAAGATTAAAGAAAAGTTGCTGTTCTATTTCACAGAAAATTTAAACAGACTTCTTGAGAGATCCTAAGCTGAACTCTGTTCTCCTACTTTGTCATCTGAATTATCTGTAGATTTATGACAATGTTGTGATTCCACAGCCCCTCAGACCTGAGATGTTGAAACTCTGGCTTCTGATCCTTTTCTGCTCACACACCCATGGGTTTAGATGCTGCATGAAAGCATTCACTGAGCGGGTTTGCGGTGCATACATCTGCATTTTTCTCTTATCCACAAGCCATTTGGAGAACGTGTTCATGGAAAATATCTGAACAGGAATTCTTCTTTCCCAGAAAGTCTGCAAAGCCATTGCAGGGCTGTCGCTCATACTTGGGACTCAGTGATATACCTGCTGATGGGGGATGTGGCCGCGCTGAAATATTGCCTTTTCTCTCTGAGCCCAACTGCAGAAAATGCTGTATGAGGCCTCTTGCTCCAGTCTATAAGGAAGGAGATATACCAGTGCAGAAGGGATCTTCTACTTGTAATGTCCAGCCAAGAGGGTTCTAGGTGTTGCTGGGATGTTACTCAACTGCAGGAGCTCTGTAGGATGACTGCTGAAAATCCCCTTGTGCTGCAGAGGTGGGTGGCTGCAGCATTGTCCCCTGCCCTGATGTTCTTTGGAACAAAACCTTCTCATGCAATCCAACTGGGGAAAAAAAAAAAAGAAAATAAAATGAAAAATTTGCCTTCTGAGTGGATGTGCTGGTTTTGGCTGGGATAAACCTTCTCGTGCAATCCAACTGGGGAAAAAAAAAATAAAATAAAATGAAAAATTTGCCTTCTGAGTGGATGTGCTGGTTTTGGTTGGGATAGAGATGTTCTGAGCTGGAGCCTTCTGTAAGCGTGATCTTACTTGTGCCCATCCTGGGCATCGTGCTCCCTGCGTCTCCTTTTGGCCATAGAACCACTGGGAGAGTGGTGCCCAACCTCCATCCCAGCACTGCCTCAGCCTTAGCCAAGGAGAGGCACCTCCTGGAAAAGCCAGTTTTGATGCTGGTGAATCTCCCAGGGACTAGGTTGTCAATCAGTGTGGAAAGAACCGCCATGGAAATTCCCTTCCTGTTCTTCTGAAATGTGTGGTGTTCCAAAGGTAAAATTTTTAAAATACTTCCCGGTCTGAAGAACCCAATCAAAACATCATTTTGTCAGCTTTCTATAGGGATATCTGTTTCACATGCAGTTGGCAATATAAGCTAGGTCCTGTGTCCCTTTCTAAGGTGTCACCTCTGCTCAGATGCAGAGCTTGTTGCCCAAGAGACAAGGTGCTAGATCCTCACCCAGGGTATCAGCATCACATAGTCTCTGCTCCTTGCAAGAGAAAGTAACAGAAAAGTGTGGGTTTATATTACCCGATATATATACTCTTCACTGCAGTTCTTATTTTGCATCCTGATGGGGAACTGGCATTTAGAGCGAGTTCATTACCATCAGCCTGTTCCTGGGCTCTGCCCAGCCGGGAAGACTCTTCACTTCATCTTCCAGCACGGGGGGCTTCAGCCCTCAACCTACTGACTCTTATAGCCCTACGTAGATCACTGTTACAGGGCCATGAAACGTGGCTGGCAAAAGCAGGGGTATCAATCGATCAGCATGGGTGATTTTTGTGGTTTTTTTAAGATATTTTTCAGGAATTTGCAAATTTAGAAAGGTCCAAAACCAGTCCCCCAGGAGTCCTTTGGGTTCACTTCTTTGTGTTCACTTGCAAAGCTACGGCTGTTCCCAACCCTTCGGTGTTAAGGAGAGCCCCTATGGGAACCTCAGTCTTGGGCTTAATACAGCCTCTTGATATGTTTTGGAGGTACCCTGGGGATTTTGGGCTTTAAAAATTGCTATGCTAGCTGCAATTATGATGACAAAGAGTTGTTTTAGAGGTTAAGAGCTTATCCAGGTCTGGCAAGGCTGCATCTCTCATGAGGGCAAAGTTGTGTTAAGAGTTAACACGGCTTTTATTCCATATGTAAATGTGGTTACAAGAAATTAATATTTTTTTCTGTCTTTTTTGCCCATATGTAAAACACTTAAAAAAAAAAAAAAACAAACCAAACTAAAGAAACCCAACATGAGCAAACCACATATCTGGCATCCTCATGATGTCAGGAGATCTCCAAAAATCAACAGAGAATGCAGAACCCAGTCAGGAAAATGTCTCTCTGTTGGTGTGTAGCACCCATAATAACTCCAAGAAAAAAGAAACCGCTCATTGGCCGCACTTCTTCTATCAGCCAGCTAAATCAGCGCATTTCAGAAGATTTTGAAGAATAAAATTGTCCTTAAGCATTCGTTGCTAATGTATTAAATTCAAGGCAACAAGCAGAGAGATAAGGGGTTGTTTTTGCACCTTTGCTTGCTTTTAACACTTCTCAGCGTAACCCGTATCAGTTCCGGTCCCTGGATGGAGGACTCGCCCATGCTACATCCTCAGTAAAAGATGGAAAGGAAATTTTTGCAGAAGTAATCCCCAAATCTGTCGTGAAGAACTACCCAGTAGCAGCGTGTCACCAGCAAAGGAAGCACGGGGTGGTTGTGGGGATAGCTGGATTTTTAATGGAGCTCGCAGCACGATATTGCAGCAGTTGGAAACTTCAGGGATATATGTCTTAAGCGGGCCAGTCTGGTTTAGAGAGAATTTTATACTGGAGTCTGCTTTTGATTAAGAGTCGTGCTCCTCGTTATTGTTTAATGATAGCGGTAGGGAGGTGAGCTTGCTGTTCGCGTTTGTGAGTGTATATTTTAAAAGAGGTCAGCTCCAAGAAAGAAGGAAAATAGGGTTATTTATGTAACGGCTTTAGAAATATGAACGAACTGTACTCCGTTTAGATGACTTGGCATAATCTTGGAGAAAGAGATGGATGTGGACTGCACCTAGTTTCTACAGCCTTTATAGAGCTGTTGCAGGGTAGCTTGAGGTTTTAAGCAAGTTCATTTCAGTCCATAGTCTTCCGTGATCCTTTTGCATGTCTTCTAGCTAATGGCTGCAGCCCAGAGGATACGACAGCGCTGTTCTCCGTTGGTACGAATGTTCACAGGAAACAACCGTACCACTTTCAAGCCTGAGTGTTTTCACCCAGGATGCAGACATTGGGAGATTTATTCTGATCTCATCGTGTCAGAGCACGCCAGGTGACCTGCATGTCGCCGTGGCACGTTTCCCACACTTGCCAAACCCCTTCTGGGAATTACCAGCAAGTGGCGTTTGTATTTCTGGTAATGCACACAACGGAGGCAGTTGTGTTTGGAGGCTGCTTACTGGTAGGACCAGAAGTAAAAATGGACAAATTTCAAGGCAAACAATTCCATCCGGTAAGATGTCAGGCTGTGATGCGAAGGAGGCAGAAAAATGCTTGGGGTGTGTTTCTGAGGGGTTGTCTTACCCGTGTGCAGGTCTTTAGATGTGATTTCCACGCAGTACTTTGGGCCATACTGACAGAGCTCCTCTACATCTTTTTGTGTGTTCATTGAACATGGTTCTCAGTGTTGTTCTTTCATTCCTGTACCCCTACAATCTTTCACAAAGTAATTGAAGTTTAAGTAATTTAAATCTTATTCTAGGAGGGACTGTTGTACTGCAGAACAGAAATATATTCTACAGGCTGTTTGCCCTGTTTTTTTCTGTACTTAGTGACATTGTTTGTCTGAATTTTGGAGCAAGGTCATATATAGATAGATAACGTTTCTGCAGAAGTGCTGTTCCCTGATTTTTTCCCCTTCCCTTTAAATCTGTTCAACCTGCTGGTGAATTTAAATCAAATATACTTCAGGGGAATGGGATGAAAACCTTGAACGCATTGTGTTTCTATAAGTGTCATGAAAATGGTGTCTAAGCGGAGAGCTTAGTGACCCGTATCTGGGAGGAGTGCAGCGTGACCCTTCTCCTTAGCAGACACCAGTGACTCCACCATGGGCTGCAGTTCCAGATACAGAGCTGCAGGGAGTGAGGACTGACATCTCTGTTCAACCTGCCTGTTTCACATGTTTTAATAAAACCAACC